AAGCCAGATCCATTAGCCAAGATGGAATTAGACTTTTTGCTAAAAGAAAAAAAACAATGAAAAATACAGACAGAGTGAACAGATTGAGGCTTTCTTTAATTTAGATACTGTAGTTTCTTCCTGTCACATATTTCCTCTGGACAGAATTGTAAGGTTTTTGGTTTTGTGTTGTTTTTTTTTTTTTTTTCCTGCCCTACCATTTCTCTTTCTTCAATAGCCTTATGTTCCTTTTTGTATGATGCATTAGATACATGAACTAACTCTATTCCATTTTCTGATCTGTACTTGTTAGCTTTCAGGAGTCAGATCTTATTGCTAGGCAACTAAACAAGAAGGCTCCATCTCTGTGTTACGGAGTTTGCTGTATCCATGTCTGGCCCTATGGTTATCTACCCATACATCTGTAAAATTACCTAAGTGCAGATGTAAACACCAAATATAAACATGCTGCATATATTACACATATTGAATTTATCTTGAAACTGAGTTTTTAGTAGCCAAAATAGCTTGGAAAAAGACATGGGTTTTTACTTCCCCCTTTTTAGATATATTTCCTTCATATGCAGCTAGCTGTAAGGGCAGTCTTAGAGCTGAAAATTACTTTTGTATTTGGGCTATTAAAAGAAGAGCTGTTTATATATTAACCACTACCATCTCTATCTTCTTACATCAGGATACTTCCATATTTTTATTAATGTCTCTGTAAGATTTTGATTACTGTAATTCTCTTTTTGCAGGTTTTCGAAAGCAACTATGAGACTGAGGAGTTAGTTTGAAAACCCAACAGCAGGGCTTCAGAAGATTGTACAGACAGTAGCCTCTCTGAAGTTTTAAGAAAGCCTATACATTTAATATTTTAATGAGTTCATATCTGTTATCTTGGTGCTTGATTACATTTCCAGTGCCATCCAGCTTATTTTGTTGATCTTCTGATAAGATGTTCTCAATAACATTATAGCCTTATTACTAAGGATTTAGACTTCTTTTCATCAACATCATTTTCGTAGCTAGAGAATCAGTGTTCTGCCATGGAGAAAAAGGCTTCTGATGTCAGATTGGCATGACCTTTTTAAAAAAACTTTTATATTGATTTTTAACTAGTTCATGTCATGTTTTCAGCATGTATATTCATATGTGCGATGTCCGAGTCTCAGTTTTAGAATTGTAGAATTAAAGTCAGAAAGGATGTGTGGAGGTGCTCTCATTCACAGTCCTGTTCAAGGCATGCTTAATCTCAGATTCTCCTGTTCGATTTTTTAAAATCTCCACAGATGAAGTCTGCGCATCCCCTCCAGGACTTTGCTGCAGTCCTGTGATGAAGACTTTTTTCCTTGTGCCTTTTGTTCTTTGCAGCTCTGGAGAGCATCTGCTTTTGTCTTCTCTGTAACTGCTCCCCAGGTGGCAGTAAACTGCATTTGGGTTCCTTGCAGGTTCTTTTTATGTGTTTTGGGTTGGTTTTTTTTGTGGTTTTTTTTCCTTGCTAAATAAAATAAGCCCATTTCTCTTAGTCTTGTCTCATGTAATGTGCTGCAGTCCCCTAGACATTGGAGGAGGCTGCCTCTGCACTCTGTCCAGTTTGTCTGTCTTTCTTCTGAGTGCTAAAACTGGACACAATATTCCAGTAAAAGTATTCTAGATGCGGCCTTGCAAGTGCTGATTAAAAGGAAGTAATGGCTTCCCCCAGTATGCTAGTTACGCTTGTGCTGAAGAGGTTGGGTATGTGATTTGTCATCATAACTGTGGAAGAGCATTGCTGACTCACGTTCAACATGCTCCCCTGTTCTGTATTGTTGTTTAGAAGCTCCCATCTCTGCCAGGGCCTCAATGTGCTTGGATCCACACAAACACTGTGATGAAACCAAGGTGACGGAGAGGTGAATCTTACAGGCGCTGCTTAGGCATGCTACTGTCACCACCCCTTAGATGAGCACCTGATTTAGCTGACTGAATTACATAGCCAGTTTTCTAAGAAAAAGCTTTGGAGAGAACGGGAGCCTTCCAATACCCTGTTCTGTGTTTTGAATTACACTTTAAACCAACTTCTGATCTTCAGGTATCTGCAGAAGAAGCTCTTTTTTATTCTGACTGGCTCATATAGGCACACCTAGAGTTGGTTAGTATAAATAAAGGAACTGAACTGATCCATTTTCAGTTCTAATTTTAGTTCAGCTGTGATTAAAGTTGTTCCCCTGTCCTTCCTGTTCCGATCAGAAATAGATGGGTAACTGACTCATGTTAGAAAATATAGCATTTATAAATAGAAATGATCGCATGCTGTGGGTGATCCCATGGAATGGGGCTTCAGGTGGAGGTAGGGTTTAAACCTTTTTTTCTGCTTTGCTGTCATAGCACCACTATTATTTGCATTTCCCACACAGCACCACTGCTTTTCTCACCTCTTCAGTCTCACTCGCTGTATTTAGGAGCTGAGGCAATCTGGCAAGTACCATTGAGGAGAGGTGGGAAAACTGTAGGCCTGCACTATACTTGGTAGTGTTGTCAGCTGTGCCAAAGATGTGGGAGATCAGAAGGGAGATGCTGAAGCCCTCTCTGTTTTCCTCTGCTGTCAGTCTGTGCAGATTCAGGTGTTTGTACTGGAGAGACATTGTTACTGTTCCGGAGTGGAGGAAAACACAGGCTGATGGGGCCAAGTGTTCTGGTGGGAGTGACAGCACAGTTCCGCAGGCTAGTCCATGTGACAGTTTGTGGTCATCAGTTGTCTTGAGTGCATAAAGAAGGCTGAGGGCACAGAACATGTAGAAAGTAAGTTTCTCTCTCAATTTCTTCAGGGAAGAGAGTGCTTCTGAAGAGGAAATTTCACTGTTACGTATGTCTGCAGCAGTTAGCCTTTCCTTGAGCTGCAAAACATAATGTTGGTTGTGGTGATGTACATCTCTGATGTAAACTAAACAAATGCAGATGTATTCTATATAAGACATCAAATATCTTTCAGATTAAAGAGAGGCTTGCATCCTCCATTTAGGAATTCACTAAGCTGCCCAATATCCACAAAATAAGGTTATAATATTTCATATTGTTCAGTTATAAATTTAAGTTTAAATCTCATGTGCCTACATCCAACCAGGCTGCATCTACTATAAATATTATTATCAATACAATATTATACACTGGCTATTTTATCTTACTGATTCTAGCCAGTCTTTTTTTCTCCCTTGGAATATGAGATTTCTGTTGCAGAGTAGCTATTTATAAGATGTTACAGTTGAATGCATGAAAACAATACACTACTAAATAATTATATATAACACCTCCAATGTTAATATTTTTATATTTTATCCCATGAAACCCCCTATATTTTTGTGAGTTTAGCTTGGTTTCACTAAAAAAAGCCTGTTGTTTTTGTTTTCTTAAGAATTTTCTTAACTACATCACCATATCTATAGATCATACAAACTTGTATCTACATTTTCTGTGAACTAAGATTCTGTGAAAATATAATAGGAACAGGCTTCCTAGAGAGGTGGTTAATGCCCCATGCCTGTCAGTGTTAAGAACAGTGCCCTTAATATTATGCCTTAACATTTGATCAGCCCTGAACTGGTCAGGCAGTTGGACTAGATAATCATTGTAAGTCCCTTCCAATTGAAATGAGCTGTTCTGTCTTTTCATACATTTATTTTACAGCTTGAGAGAAAAATGTATGTTATTTAAAAAAAAACACTTCAGTCTTATAATAGAGCTTGTTCATCCACCCTCCTCAGCCTTTCCATGATGGTGCTTCAGAAATAGCAAAACTCATCTCAATCATGACTTCACACCCAAACTAAATAAGTGCATTTTATTAATCTATCAGATTTCTTAGTTCTCTCTCAGTGACATAGCTGTGATTTCCAACCTTGCTTTTTTTTTTTTTTTTTATATTATATACAGTACTTCAATGGAGACATGAATCTGTTTGCCACAAAATGTTCTGAATTAAATACCTGGATTTTTAAACTTCAGGTAAAATGTAGTGGAGTCACAGGATAAGTGTCATAGCAGATTCTAAACATGATAAAAAGAACTGTATAAACCACACATCTTTGTACATGCCAGTAACGTGCACATACATATAATGTGTCAGGCTGTGATGGCTAGAACTTGGATTTTTCATCTCAGACTTCCTGACATACGTGACTCTAACTTGCATCCATTACTCCCATGCAAACAAGAAGTTCTATTTTTAAAATCATTTCATCAAAGGAAATTTTATGAAGAGGAAAGCTGAGATGGAAGAAGGAAATACATCCTGACACACAGAATTTGGCTCCAGCGTCCCCACCACCTGAGCTAATATTGTCCATGTCTGTATTAACAAGTAGGGTTGTGCAGGAAGAGCCAATCTATAGTTGGTGCCAAAAACCTTATATCCACATTATATGTGAATGGGGAAAAGGTGGGAATCTGTTTTGAACTAGCTATAATTTGCTCCTGTCAACTGAAAGAGCGTTAGTAGTTGGAGCACATTATATGCTCTGTGGAGGAAATCTTTCAGCTTTGTTTCATTTGGGGGACATCTAGCTGTACACTGACCTGTGCTGCATAAAACAAAGTAAAGTAAGGGGGACTGAATAGGAGATTTACTTCAAAAGCATACTCGTGATCTGAACTTACAGACTCATGTAGGTGCATCCATTGATTGGATGGTTTGAAAAGCTAACATATTCAACCAGGCTGCAGGGAATTAGTACCTTCTCCCCTTTGAAAATAAATTATTTCTGTATTCACTGATTCTTAAAAGAATTATGCCAGTATAAATTCTCTGTGCTAGGGTGGGGAAACATGATAGAATATAAGGGTGTTCACAGTGGAAGCTAGTTGTTAAGTTAATAACAAAGGACTAAGCTGATAAGACATTCTGTTTCAAAACTAAAATGGAGGGTTCATGAACAGAAATGTGCCCTCTGTGTAAGTGAAATCACTGTTTGAAAGCCTTCACTATTTACTTTTTTTTTAATATATAGAATGACGAGAACTTTCCCTGTTTTTGAAATTTTTAATTTCCATAATCTGAAAACTGATAAATTTAAGGTCTTGCATGAAGTCCAGTACACCGCTTAATTCTATAATATTAATCACAGACAATACAGGGACACTGTTGCTAACTTTATTCTTCTGAGTCCTTACTGTAAAATGCTACAGCAGTGAATGCAGAGAAATAAAATAGTTCTGTAATAATGATGGAACTGAAGAAGGTCATGTAATGCAAACACTTGTGAAATCAGTAGAATTATGTATTTCTTGCCAAGGCTTGTCTTCTGAGACTGTGGTTGTTTACAGGAGCTCTAATACAGAAGCCATGAAGAAAGATGATATGAGGAGGCTAATTCTGCAATCTTACTGAGGTGAATCAGGACTGAGCAGTGAATGCATTCATTTTCATGAGGTATCCTAATAATGGAATACTAAAGCATGAACCCTACATCTTAGTGTTCAAACTCTATTTAAATAACTGAATTCACGATGCTTTATTGCACTTATGTTTGATATGGTTCTCAGTGGAAACTGATAATATGTACTACATAGGTAAAACTAAAAAGAGAGGCCATCTTACTTTTTATTCAGACTTTGCTAAAAAGAGGTAGTGGATCAAGTGAATGGAGATAATGAACCATATTGAAGTTTGTTACCAAAGCTTTTACAAACCTTTACACGATAGCTGAAGCATTTATGTAGCTTTAAACATGAGTATTATTGGCTTTATGTAAAGGAAATCAATCCATAATTTAAAAGTTGTACACACTTTCTTTAAACTCAAACTTCCCCATTTTCTGAACCACATATATTGGTTCCATGTGTGGTACTTCCTTCCGCAGTATGTCAGCATGTCTGCTGGTCAGTGGGAGTTTTGCCAGAGTTTTGCAGTCTAAAGTGTCAAGCCATTATTGCATATTATTGAAAGGCTGGCAGCAGAGCTAGCATGGGGCTAGTAGCCATAATATATTGAGGGAGTTGGCTAAGAGAACCCGTATCTTCCTCACAACTCAGCAGAAATCTAGGAGTTGGAAAGTCCTTTCATCATACTGCTGATTTTAAGATCATTTGGTCTGGTGAACAGCGTTTCATTTGTTTGAGTTGGAGGAGTTTTAAAATTCTGCTAGGTTTCTGCCAGCATCCTCAGCCTCTCATTTGGCAAAGAAGAGCATAGTCTAGCGCAACACATTTGAAAAGTCTGTGACCTCTTGAATATTTGAGCTTTAATATCTTACTGTGAACATCTACTTTTTAATCATATTTAGGGCCTGAGTAATTCTAACTGTTGGTTTATTATTAAATACTGCTTGGTCCCTCAGGGTCATTTTTTGGAAAAAAAAAAAACAACCCACCTTAGGCCGTGACATCTGTAAGAATTCATTAATTCCCTGCAGGTCATTGTATTTTTTTTTTCAACTCCCAGTCTGGTTTTCTGGATCTTTCTGCATGTTCATATGTATTCAGCAGCTAAGCAACTATAGTTAAAAAAATTAAAAATGGTCACAGTAAAATACCAAAATGACATTTCCCTACCCCAGCCTTTCGTAGGACAGCTGAAACAGAAAGGGTCAGGAATTTTACTGCCAGCTGACCTGAGACCTAGGAGAACAAATAACTCCACAATATTTTGCCCCTGTAATCTTTGTTCATTATCATAGGAAAGAGTTTGTTATGTCTTCATGCTCAGAAGGTTTTTAAGTTCTCTGTACCTCTAACGCCACAATATATGATGGAAAATGGTGGTAATAATTTACGTCTGCTAATACAAACACAGCTGTACCTCCTCTTACTAGTTAGATAAAAATTCTGTCTGTAAAGTTCAAATCTGGAACTAAATACCAAAACTGACCAATTTAATAAAAATGTTATATTTGTTGTTTAGTTTAGGTCTAGTGTTTAGTTTGTTTCCTGCCATAGTTTTCTGTGCTTATATTGTCAATCTCCACTTGCATAAAACCATCTTAAACAGATAATTTTTTTGCCTCTACAGCTTAATAAAATAAACTCTAAAGCAATTTTATTTTCTCAAATACAGTTACGTCTTCATGGAGTGCCTGAAGTATTACACTGATGCATAAAAGTATTGAATATGGGTGTGATTTTTTCTGCTTCCCCCTAGTCAACCTGGCTAGGATGGCAAGAACTCTGAATTGCATATCAGGCCTTATTGAGGATGTTAGCAAAGATTGGGTTAATTTATTACAGTACATAAAGCAAATGTAATTTTGACTCGCTCTGTGTATATATAGCTCCTCTAAGGTATGAAATTTTTCTCAATTACTCAGATTACCCATATGTTTCTTAGGTTATAAACACATTGTATTTTATATAAAAAAGAAGGAAGATTGATTCTGACATTTTCTTAGTTGTGTGCAGTGACGCTTTTGAAATTGTAGCAGCCTACTGCCAGCTATGGATGTTGACTCAGGCATGAGATTTTCAAAAGGCATGCTTACTTTAGAGACTAGTTTATCATGTTTCCATCTGTTGGATAAATATTTTTTGACTAAGTGTAAAACCACAAATATATGTCATCCCAGATGCTCAAGAAATTTTTCATCTGACTGCTGACAGGCAACAAGATGAAATGGAAAATCCTTTCAAAATACCTGCCAAGCAAGTCTGTACAATTGTGACTTAGGCAACTAAAAACTCCTTTCAGATTACATTTGGAACTGTATCAGAGGGTAGTCACCTGAGATTTTGGACTTCAACAATCCAGAGAATAAAACCAGCAATCCATGCAACAGTGTGAACAAATCTTACTGATCTTACTGATAGCGTATGATTACCCAGCAGGTGGGAGATGTAAATCAGTAGCCTGGAGAGAATCAAGAGATACAAGAATGGCAGAGGGTTGTATGCTCAAGTGCATGCACTCTGCAGCTGAGTTCCAGGAAATCTGACCTTAGGTTATTTTAGATGCTGGCTGATAGAAGCCTTTTCCTTGCTGCCTGAACACTGTGACTGAAGAAATTTGCATTCCTACTTTTTTGCATTTCACCCAGCTAGCTTTACCAGTCACGATTAAAGTGAGCAGGCAAGACAAATCCCATTGTGTAAGCTCCCTTGCTGGCATGCTGAGATTCCTCTGTCCTTACAGGAAGTACTTGGTACATAGACTTCAGGAGGTGTTCCTTGAGGGTTCTAAAACCAGTATGTACATTTGTAAATATACCTCTTTTCCCTTCCCCCATTCACTAGGAAAATAAAGCTCTGATGGTACATTCTCTGTAATCCCTGTGTGACTTGAATAGATCTGGAGGGATGCTCAAGTACATGCCTCCTCTGCAATACCAATGTGATTTCATTTATACTGATTTTTTTTCTATTTTTATATTGTGTCTACTGATGTATTTGTCTAGGGAGAAGCAAAAGCATATAAAGTAGAGGAGATGAAGTGAGCATGTCAGAAGAGCACCTTTATACTGTTCACTACTCAATGGCAGGTTTGATGAGAGCAGGTAAATGTAATTTTTTATTTTTTTTTTTGAGTCACAAATTTTCTTTATGTAGCCACTGGGAGATATCATGAGCTTATGACCCATTTCATATGGTGTGATTTTAGTCATACACTTTTCCTTTTTGCCCTGTCAGGGTAATCTGAAAAGCAGGTTTCTTTTGTATTAAAGTCTGTTTTGGACCAAAGCAGTGAAGAACTATGATCTTGGTGCGAATTGCTGCTGTTAGTTTTCCAATACTTCCCAATTTTCTGCCTGTAGAATAGGAATATGAGACTGGAAGTGTCTCTTTGGATCAGTTAATCCACCTCCCTGCTGCAGCAGGCATCACGTTTTATAAATCCCTCTAAAATCAACCAAACTCAGTCTTGAAACTACCTCTTCACCCACCTCACCTCTACTGAAATATCCTGCTGTTAAAAATGCTGTTCATGAACTTCAAAGGCCTCAGCTCTGCTCACTGCTAGCTCTTCATAATAAGCTTCCCCATCTCTAACAGCACTACTGCTAAGTCAGCTTTTCCAATTCAGTGAAAAGAAACCAAAACTTCAAGAACAATTCTAAGATTCTGTGAAATAATCACATAACCTGAGCCTATGTTTTCTGGCCAGAAATGGGAAACAGAAAAATCTCCTTAGAATTTCTGATTTCCAGCTTTTTTTGTGATTCACAACTTCCTTTGTCTTCAGTGGCTATCTGCAACGAGGTTCTAAACATGTAGAGGTTTGTCCATCCTTAGCCATGCTATTAAATTGTTCTCTATTCTTCCAGTTCTGTCTGATTTCTTGGACTGGTACCATAACAATCTGAATAGATTCCATAGTTTATGACTATTTTAACTAAAGTGGATTGCTTTATTTTTAATTAAAAAATTAAGGTTTAAGTAGATTGCATCTTCATCTGATATTCTAAGGATTTTAATATCAGACTCTGCCAAACGAAATAATATGGAATTTTTTTTTAGAGAAATGCAAAATAAACTACATAGCTTCAGAAATACCTGTCTAGCACTGTATTTTTTGAATTCATGTGCTAGTAATCATGGAGTTGGTTCAGGGGGGATTTTACTGATGAGGTGGGATGGGAGTCTTTCATATATTTGTTGCAGTTGCTTATTGGTGCTTTCAGGTCACAGACGCACAAATTACTGCTTTTGGCAGGGCTCTGCAAAGACAGTTTGAGCTAAGTGCGTACAAAGGTGAAATTTTATCCTGTAGGTGGAACTGTGTACTTCTAACATTTAAAAATGGCTGCTTAGGGCTTAGTAAACCTCCTCTGAGTCCAAATGTTCATCCAACATTTGTAACAGAATTTTAGGTCATTTTAATAATCCTGTCTTTTAGCTATCATCACAGAGTCTGTCAACAGTTTTTAATATTTTTGGTTGCAAGGAGTAACAACTGTAGACAAGGTTTTTTCACTGTGGGAATTACAGGATCCATTCATATGTTATTCTGCCACATGATGTCCTCCTAACCTAGGTTAGAGTCACTGAATGCATGCAGTCCAATTTAGACTGGAAAATTCTGTAACATTCACACGTGTGTTTATATAAAAGGTAGCTATCGGCTTGCAGACTAATCAGAAGGATCCGTGTAATTTTATTTCTGTTGCTGCATATGAATTTTGAATTTCTTTTGATTCTGAACAGTATAAATGCAGCCTTATAAATACCTTCATTAAAATCCAAAGCTCAAGAAACATAAGGGTTTTAGTTTTGTTCTAACCTGATGAACAAAGTCCATTATACAAATATTTCATTCTTGTGTATTTCTAGCACTAAGCCCTGATTTGAATGTTGCACACAATATGTGAGTTGTAATTAATCTTGTTATAAATAAATGACTTTGACTAAAATTTCTAGAACTTGTAGTTGAGGTATAGCACAAATACAGACTTTAGATTTAGATACAGCATACTATTTGTCCTTTAATTTGTGCCATGGTTATTTCTGGCTCAAATTTTTTATCAAAGCAAGTATACTTTATAATGCTAATGTAGCACATTTTTGTGTACTTACGACTTTGTGAATGCTAGCTTTCTCTTAGTACTTAAAAATAAAAAGATAATCATGTCTCCTCCCATCCCAAGTAAAGGAAAATATTTAAACTAATGAAGAAACCTTCAGAAAAAGCCCTAAGAATTTTGATGATAATGCTGTACACCTGCATCCACTGGAGGTCAGTAATGTCCCGCAGTGTGCTGCTTAGCACTGACTCCTCCCAGCTGTGTCACAGTGATTAAATCTAGGGCTTTTTAATCAAAAAAAGGAGTTTAAGCCTCACCCTGCTTTGTCTGAGGCAGGGTTGACGGATGTGTTTTCTTTCCATACTTTGTCCATATGTGTCTATGTATGTTAATATATGTGCGTAGATTTGTATTTCTCACCATATAGACACCAACAGAGATACAAGTAAAACTTCACTTCTTCCTGTTCATCTGATCTTTTACTACAGTGGGGATTTACATTGGGCATAAACTATTTATATGTTTTACATGGAGGCTGGATAGTAGCAAAAGGAAAATTTTCCAATACAGATATCTAAATTCTTTTTAATTTCTGTGCAAACTGACTCTTTGTCCGCTAAATAAGACACGGAGACTTATGTCTTAGGAAGTTCTTCCCCATGAGGATAGTGAGGCACTGGCATACAGGTTGCCCAGAGAAGCTGTGGCTACTCCATCCCTGGCAGTGTTCAGGGCTGGGTTGGACGAGGCTTGGAGCAACCTGCTCTAGTGGAAGATGTCCCTGCCTGTGGCAGGGGGCTGGGACTAGCTGAGCCCTAAGGTCCCTTCCAACCCACACCAATCTGTGATTCTATGATTCTGTGTCACACTACAGGGCTTTCTTCTGCAACAGAACTTAACTTTAACCTAAACTTCAGTTTAGGAGTTTTAAATGAACTCATTCTTCAATTCAGAAAGAAGGAAAATGGTTACATAGGATAATATTAGGGAAATGAAAGGAAGTGTTTTCCATGGAATACCCAGTAATTGGTTGTCGTGGTTTAAACCCAGCCAGACAGCTCGTTCACTCACTCCCCCCCTTCTTGCCCTTCCCCTACTCCCGGAGGGACAGAGAGGAGAATAGAAAAGAATGCAGCTCCCAGGGGTTGAGATAAGAATAGTTTAGTAACTAATGTAAAACACAAATCACTACTGCTGCCACCAATAATAATAATGATAAGGGAAATAACAAGGGAAGAGAATACCACACCTCACCACCAGCTGACTGATAGCTCGCCCGCCCAGCCTGACCAAGCACCGACCGATACCTCCTTCAACCCCGCAGCCCTTCCAGGTAACTCCCAGTTACATCCTGGGCATGATGTGCTGTGGTATGGAATACCTCTTTGGTCAGTTTGGGTCAAGTGTCCTGTCTCTGCTTCCTCCTGGCTTCCCCTCCTCCCTGGCAGAGCATGAGGCTCACAAAGTCCTTGAGCCAGACCAAAACGTCAGTTTTATCAGTGCTGTTCCCAGGCCGAAAGTCAAAGCACAGCACTGCACCAGCTACTAAGAAGGAGAAAAGAGACTGTTACTGCTGAACCCAGGACATTGGTCCATCCCTCTCCTCTGAATGCACCTAGTACTATTTAAAGTAATTATACTAATCATCACAGTGTTTAGGCACAGATTACATTCAAGAAGAAAATTGAAAATGCTGTTCTAACATTCCAGTGAAATCTGCTTTGACAAGTTAATCCAGTATTTTTTTAATTAGACTATGGTAATAAAATATTTAATTACACTTAAAGTGTTCTATTTCTGTCATTCCATTCAACCAGGCAAAAATACTCAGAATTCAATAGATGTCAAGCAATGAAAATGCCTCGTGCACTTTCAATATCACCATGTTTTATAGATGAATGAAAGAAACTGAACTTCAGTGTGCACAGGTATAATATTTAATTATTTAATTCCCTTTCTACTGAGGTTGAGCAAAAGGGAAATACCTCCCCCCCCCCCCCGCCCTGTTTGTTTCTGAGGAATGTTAATCAGCTTCCATCAGGCTACAATCACCAATCATCAATAAAACTACTAATTAGGTTTAGATAATGATATTGGTAAGGGACCTCTAGTTCCTCAGAGGCAGTACACTGAGCTTGACTCATATTTATTCAGTTATTTATCAAGAATGTTATTGTGACAAGCAATGTGAACAGTTTGAGCGTGTTTAATGCCAAATATTTTCCTCAGTTTAATAGCATCAACAGATTTTATTTATTTATTTATTTATGAATTTTGTTGGTTTTAAATTAACTTTCTATCAAACAATGGTAGTATTTACCTGCTTGCTAGTCCACTTGTTTGATTACTCTCTTGGACATCTTTACTAGTCAGGCAGTTATTTAATCACCTGAGATAAGAACACTTAACTGGGGGAGATTTTTAAATAAACTTTCTGTTGTCTTGCCTCTTTAGGAGGTCTGTGTCTGGTCTAATGCTAGTGATCTTACACTGCTATTTTTACAGGGCATAAAAACCTTTGTTTTGCCATTCTGCAGGTATTCTACAAGTGAGGTTAAAATGCTGGAGTTGCTACCTGTGAGGGGTACAGGGCATAGTTTTGTCTATGCCCTGTAGCATATGTCTATGTAGCACCCGTTGCTGCAATTGTCAAATATGGGTTATTTTAAATGTTCCAGAAAGTTAACTTCAAAACTCTCTTGTCATTAAGGCTGAGAAAGAATACCGTTATCCAGTAGACATTATAGAGCAAATATTATGGAACAATTTCAAGCTTGGAGCTGTGTGGGGAATGCTGCACAAGAGGCTGCACCAGCAGACCTGAACAAGAGCACAAACATCCTGACCCTCATCAGCTGCAAACCATGGGAGTCAAGAGGAGTCAGAACACTGAGATAATCTCTGAGAACTGTGGATGTTGAAACAAAGAAGTCACTGAAAACAAAGATGTAATGTACCTTGAACTTTCCCAGGAGCTAATGAAAGTCTCCATTGTGGACTAAGGGGACAAAGAATGTGTGTTCAAGGAAAATGGAAAGTAATAATGTGGCAGAAAGTGTTAACAGAGAAATGTGCTTATACATCTGAGAAAAATAAGTTGTTCAAGCAAAGGCGCATGAACAATAATGTGATTGGTTGAGAAAAGCATATGATGTTGCAGAAAGTGCTAAAAAGAAACAGCAATTACTGATCGCTAGGCAGGGGTCTATAAAAAGCCTATAAGCTCGCTCAATAAATTATTTTGGTTGCATCACAACTGGAGTCCGTGCTTCAGTTGCCCCAGAGCTGCAGTAGGGAAGCAGAAATATATTTTTAGCACTTCAGGATGTCAGTTTGGTGCCATCTTTCTCCCTGGTAAGTTTACATTGAAGGAAGGATGGTGTTTAAGGGCTAGACATGGAAAAATGCCTGTTTCTTTGTAGCATTTTGTGTTGAAAATGAGACTACACAAGGTAGAAATTTAACTTTCATATTTCCTGGCTGACCTGTCTCTGGTCCTGCTAAAAGTTACAGGATTTATTCGACTTTTAGTCTCTTCAAACACCAAACCCCTGTCAGAAGACTAACAGTGGAAGACTATAGCATATTGTAACATTCTGGATTTTGTGCCCTTTTTTTTGTATGTTTGGTTTGGTTTTCTGTGGCTGTTTTCTGTTTGTACGTGTTCACTGTCATAGAGTAAAAGCCTGCATCTTAGTCCTTTTCCCAAAAGATTAGGCATTTAAAGATGTAATTTTTGTCAAATTTGCATGTTTAAATTGTAATTCTGAAAATGCTTTCAAATGTTTCTTGGTGTCATCTGGAGTCTGGTTTTGTTTTGTTTGTATAATTGGAAGTTCCCTGGTACAATTAAAACTTCTTCAGTTTGACCACTTGAGAGCTACAAAATGGAATTGTTATTCTTTTGTGTAAGTAAGTATGTGGTGAGTAGGCTTTAAAGGCCTATGTAAGTTATTTTTGTATTCCCATCAGTAGAGCATCTGTGTAAGAGGAGTATCTTGAGTGCTTGTTCTGGCTTCCGGTAAAGTTTCTATGACTAAGAACAAATGTAAGAATTGTTATTGAGACACTGAATTGCACTCTCACATGTGATCCTTCTGCCTGGCCTGAGAAGTTTTGAATTACTTTCCTTACAGTAGTGCAGCTTCAGCTGAAAGTTGTAGAATAGTTTCCAGCTTGCTTGTTAATGCATTCTCTGGGAAAATGGAGGATGTGAATATGAGCTCCCTCATTCTCAGGAGAAAATCAGAGCTGAGCTTTTTATTTCATAGGTGATAATGAGACTCTTCCATGAACACTAGAAACTTTTCCTTAAGTTACGTTCTGCAGGAGGAGAACAGAAGCCAATGAGCTCTTTAAGAAATATATACATTTCTGGGGGGGGGCGAGATGTAGGCTATGGATCTCTAGAGAATGAAATACTTTCCATGAAACCTGAAGAAGATATTTAGAGACATACTGTTGTCTATAAAAAAAGTTTTGTCTATACTAGCTTTTAGCAATGCTGCTCTTTTCCTGGTGACTTAAGTTTGTTTTATCCCTTCCTGAGCCCTGAGTTTTATCCCTTCCTGAGTGTAGGGTGTGTGGCAACTTCTCTGAAGGTCGTGGACTCTGATTTGAGGGCAATGGTAAATATACCTATTACAGCATCTGTATGTAAGCTTTTTATTGTATTTATCACTTTATTCTACTTACACTTTAATTATGCTTACTTAATGTGGAATCTTCTGCAGCTACTGTTAAACTGCTTTTATTTTTGCCATGTCGTGATTTTCAGATGCTCTTCCTCACAGGCTGATGTGTTGAAATTGTGAGATGATAGTAAGGAGTGTTTTAAAGAAACCCAAACCCACCCCACCCCCAAGCCCTTACAGATTCCTGTGATCCGCTTACTAAAGATATGCCTAATTTGTACTGAAAATAGCCCCCCCCAACCCAACAAAAAAACCCCCACCAACCTCTGTTAATCTGGAATTGCTAGCCCTTTGGTGTCAAGAACATTTAAATTAAGATTTCATAAGTTAACCATGAAACTGAAAGTGGTATTAATAGCACTGTACTGCTATTCACTGTATGGGAATTCTGTGATATGTAGCAGTGTTATAGCTCTGCAAATGTTGGTACACAATTACAACTTTTTCTGAGTCTATGAGTATCCATTTTTATTTATTTATTTTTATTTCAGGTTATACTGTATCCTATGTTTAGAAGAATTGCAAATGAAAAAGCTTGAGTTTTTTTTCTTTCTGTTTTCTGCCTTTCCTGAACAGGAAAATAGAAGACCTACTCAGCTATTTGTATTGTTACTAGTATCAGGACATGTACTGCTGTACTGTCTGGCATGATGGCAAATACATGTTTGTCTAAGGAACACCTCTATTTCCAAATAAATGTAAAAGTATTCTGTACATTGTAGCCTTGTAATCGGCCCTGCTGAAGATTAAGGGTATCAGGATGTATCAATTACAATGAAGATACAGGTTCTGTGTGAGAACCTAGGTCCTCATAGGATTTAGGCTACATGTCCTTCTTCTCTGCTCACTGCTTGTACTCTAAAGTATTATATTAGGATTTTATTACTTTTTAGAATGGTTCTGCACCCAGATTTGTCCAGTGAACTTCTCAGACTTCAAAGATAACTTTACTCTCAGAAATATGACAGAGCATAGTAGCTACTTGGAGGAATTCTGCCAACAGTTCCTGTAAAGAATCTATTAAGCTGACTCATAAACTTGCATTGCTTTTTTTGTTAGCTACCTAAAGGTATGTGTAATTACTTTAACATTCTTGTAGAGAACTGTATGAACCAGTTTACAAAACTTGTGAAAATATGACTTGAGTTCTTTTGTTATTTCAATCAGTGCATGATTTTGAATAGAACTGCTAAAACCAGAGCTCTGTTTGACATTTGCATGTATTTCAGAGGGTAATTAAGAAAAGTTACTGTAGCCAGAAGCATATTGTATAAATATGAAAAGATAAAGGGATGAAGATTGCTGAACACATTAACAAATTTATGTATACAAAAATCATTATGTAACATACAGAAAACTAACATTTCCATTAGAATATTTTTTAATGATAAAACATGAAACTCATGGGATTTTGAAACTGTTCATATGAACATTGAAAAACAACAGCAAAAAAAAGTATCTATATTGGAATGAATTTTACGTCTTTTAATGAAAAGAGTAGTGCAGCAATAAGGAAAAGCCTGCACTAATACTGAAATTGCTGAAATGTCTTCAGTCACTTTAGGAAGCCAAAAATGGAACACTTCATCTTTGGAAACTCAAGTTTTGGGTTTTAAATAACAGTTTTCCTCTGAAGATTTTCTGTTTTAACTGTTACAGGGATGAACAGATCTTTTAATTTCCACTGAGTTCAGTTCTGTTTGAAAACTTGCCATTCAGAACTAAGTTTTGATACACTGACCAAGAAAAAAAAGAATCTGATAGTGTCTGGGGGGTGGTATCTTATAATAATTTATAAAATACGAATTCTGCTCTTCCAGTGTCTTAACTCATGCAAACTGTATTTTGTTGCCCTCATTTTTCCCACTCAAAGGCATGATTTTCTTTATTTTTATTTTTATTATATTCTTCTGTTGTGGCTAGGCTCTTCATTATAAAGCATCTTGCCCATAAAAGCTGTCATGTGATTGATAAAGGAACTTGGCCATTGGTTTTAGTGTAGTGTGAGATACCTGTTAGACATCATGGTAGAATACCTGACTCGAGATGTTATTGTAATCTGAACTAGAGTTAAATCTCCTCCCTCACCCCCCAAATATTTTTGTAAATAATTTCAATTAAGAATTTTGGAGAGGTGAGGGTATGGATGATTGTGGCTGACTCCTGTTCCTGGTTCCTTTGTTGTTAGGAAATACAATGAGGGTGATATCTTGCCAGAAAAGCAAAGTAGAATGCTCCTTTAATTGAAGCAAATGTGCGTTTTGCCCAAAGACATGGTGTTTAGCCGTAGGTTCCCAAATTTGATATCTCTTTTCTCAGATCCTGTAAGGTAATCCCACCTGTGTACCTGTGTGGGGTTTTTGGGGGTTTTGTTTGTTTGTTTGTTTGTTTGTTTTTTTAATTTGCTGAGTCTACCTGAGAAGAAATTAATGTAGCTATTTACTAGTTTTCCTAAATGTGGCTTAAAACCTGATTTTGGTTTGTTTTGGTGTGTAAAAACTTTCATCATATAGGAAACCAATGGGAAAAAGTCACTTTCTCATAGTTATTTTAAGTAACTTTCAGATCTTTCAGTTTTGTATATGAACATCTTAGATGGCAGATGTCATACAAGATGAGATATTACATTTGTTTTAATGAGAGGTAGAATAAAAATGAGTGAATTAATCTAAATTAAGACCAACAGAGTAGAACTCAATTATCTGCACTTTTTTTGGGGTTATTACATCTTGAACTTTGGTGATAGTGAGGTGAAATGCTCTCAGTTAAAGGCAATTTCATGCAGCCTTATTTAAAACATTTTGATACTTGTTTTTAGGGTAGCTGAAATGGAGGTGGATGAAGCTCATTTGACAGTTATCTGTAAGATATATAAATGTTCAAGCTCAAACTCAAGAATACTAATACTTAT